GGTTAAAAAATAGTTTCCAGATAGTTCTTTAGAAATAATTTAATGGAAATATCTTAATGGATAATTAATGAAAAGAAAGCAGCATGTGACATTTTTATCTTCTCAGTTACCTAATTTGTACACATCGTCATTATGGGGAGGCTTATGCTCAAAATCTATGTGTGTTTATGCTGGGCAGGATTTACTTGTAGTTAAGTTCAGTGTAAACTAAAGGGAGAGAAAGAAATGATAACATGTTATTTTTGGTATTTATATTGTGTCATCTCGCCTCCCACCCAATTCCTTCAATTGTCTCCTAGATTAGAAAGAAGTATTGTTTCTATGAGTTTTTTTTTTTATTTGTTTGTTTGCTTTTGCGATTTCAACCCCCCCCCATCACCTATTTTCCCCATTTGGGAATAAGAGAAAAACAAAACAAACAAACAAAAACACAAAAACAAGATGTGCTCTTTTAACAGTCTTCAAAACTTGCAGAGACACAGGCATTTTGAAGAAAAAGAAAACTACCCCAGCACAATCTACCCAGCATTGCTTGAGCCTTTGGTAGCAGTTGCTGCTGCTAAGGACGCTCCCCCCAATTGCTGGTATTAAGTAGCAGCAGGCCCATACTAGCCACATTCAGGTGGCCAAGCACAGCTGTATTTCTGCCATTCAGGCAGGTTTGTGTGCACCTGGGATGGGCCACACCCAGTTGGTATCAGTCAACAGTATATCATGCAATGTTTTACTGTTGCTTTGGGTTTTGTTTTTTTGTTTTGTTTTGTTTTTTTTAAGTCATGATTTCCTCTGGAAACTCAAGTCAAGAGCATTAACTGTACATGTGTATTTATGCTCAGTTTTGTGTGCTAGCATTCTTTAAATGTCTGCCAGAAGTTTAATTCGAATTTCTGATCCCTGAAGGCAGCTAGACAGAGTCATTCTAGGTCTTCATAAATTACCTTCTGTGATTCATTGTTAACTCATAAAGCAAGTTCATTTCTATGCACTCAGTTAACATAGCTCCCATATAGGGGATATATGCTTTTTACCCCTTGCCTTATATTTAAATTGTCTGCTGAGAAAAATTAAGAATTAGCTTCCAATAACTCCCAGATAAGGCATGAGCCCTTGTAGCTACACACAGCATCAGAAAAAAATGTTTTATCTTGAGGAGGGAAAAGTGGATGGCAGAGGATTGGCAGAGGGGAAAAGTTTCATTTTCACAGAATACTCTCAACAAGATCCTCATAAATATTAGACGGCTGTAGTTAAAAACTCACATGACTGTTTTAAATACTATTGATTTAAACCACTGGCTAGATTTTATGAATCAAAGTGTAATTTCTAAGCTCGGACCATATTTCTCAATGCTAAACCACTCTCTCTTGTGTGCCTTTAGCCGCTTTCCAGACATTCAACACAGGATTAAATGATAGTAGTTACAGTGATCAATAGGTTAAGACTGCTACAATCACTCTTGCCGCTAATGACCTCAGTAGTAATGGGTAATAAAGTGTGGGCTGTAATAGCCCCTCGCTGGTACTGCATGCCCTTTGATTCCTAGTATTAGTGGGGACTAGCTACTGAGAAAGTTGGACGCTAGGAATTAAGGGAGTGGATGTATAGGGTATAATTCTTAACTATTTAAAACCTTAAACTGTGCTCTGATTTTTTTTTTTTTTTTCTCTTTTCCCTTTTTCTTTTCTACCCCACCATGGTTTCTGGTTCATTTGAATATGTTTATAAAGATTTTCTATAACTTCTTTTCCTGATGTATTGCAACAGAAACTTTGTGAAGTGGGAGGGGGGGCAAACAAAAAAAATCTCAATTTTATTGTATTTGTAAATGAAACCCTAGCCCACTTCAGGGGCTGGGAACTGACTGGTGTGAAACTGTGGTTTCAGATAGTAAAAGCAGAGTTCAAGCCATCAGGATATAATGGCCCAATTCTGATTACTCAGAGACTGTTCATCCAATTGGGAGGAATACCCCAGCTTCTTAGGCTTGTCCCTGGCTGGGCTGTGCCTCTTGCTTGAAACATTTTAATACACATCAGCACCTCTATCAAAGTGTCCAAAGGGAACAAGCAGCAGAGAGTCAAATTCATTCTACTGTTATGCAGCTCAGCTGCCAACAATGGAGAAGTAACTGTGGGAAAAGGAACTGGAAACCATTGGCTGTCTGCAAGGATTTAAGAATTACCTGTCTGTGTTGGTCCTTCCCCCAGCACCTCCCCCCACCAAATTCTTGTTTTATTGACAGGCAAGGGACCATTATGTTTCTTGTTTAAAAAAACATTATTTTATCAGGTTTAAAAATAAAAACCTTTTATTATATGTGATACAAAACAATAAAATGTACATATTATATATAATGGTTTAAATCATTTTTATTAAAGTGTAATTTCTATACTGTAAAATACACTTTTTATATATAGTTGGGAGAGGTTTGACAACTGTGTACCACCATTCTTATGGAAATACTTCCATCACCCCCAATAATTTACCTGTGTCCCTTTCTAATGCAGGATTTCCATAGCTCTTACAATAACAATGGCCAGAGGCCAGGCTTGGTACCCCATGTCTTTAATCCCAGCATTGGGAGGCAGAGGCAGGTGGATCTCTGTGAGACTGGTAGCAAGTTTTAGGCCAGCCTGGTCTACATAGCAAGTTTCAGGATAGCTGGGGCTACAGAGAGAGCCTGTCTCTAAATAAATAAGTATTATAAAACAAAAACAATGACCAGGGGATTCGTTCTATATAGCTTTTCTGCTACAACTCTGTTAAGTCCATGTTCATCACCAGTTGAGGTTTTACACCACCCTGTTCCTGTCTATTTTCCTGTCCATCGCCATTAGAGATTTGGCTCCCGAATATTTGTGTTGTACATCATCCAAGAAACGCAGAGGAAAAAAGAAACCTTAACCATGGTTCTTTTGTTTGCCTCATCAAACCTCCTGTAAGACCATGCATCTCTCAAGAACAGTAAACTTCTGCTGTAATGTGTGGCCTCAGCAGCTCCAAAGATAGCGACTGGCACCCAGTCCATATTTAAAAATTCAGAAAGTTTCGTCTAGATGAAGACAAAGTCTTCTAATTGGAATTAATGCGTAGATGGTTAGATGTTTTGATAATGTCTTCTTGGCGTTTGCCCTAGACTGTATGCAAGTTCAGTGTTCCAATCGTTGGTGATATTTCATGCTGCGAATTATCTTTTTAAAAAGATAATTTATCCATTCATATACATCTGTCCCTTTTTGCATATAAAAATATTCAGACATGCCCATCTGTTTTAAATTACAGTGTAGCTACATCTACACTTAAAAGACCACTGCAGTAGGAAGAATTCATGGATGACCTTCCAGAGTTGGGTTAATGAAATTTTTCGAATGTTCTAGCCAGTGTTTTCTAAACATGCAGAACTTGCACATCAACACCACCACCACCACCTCCCACCCCCCAACACACACACACACACACACACACACACACACACACGCCATGGCCACAACAACTATGGAGAATGTTCACTGTACATGAATCTGACCTTCAGGAACCATTTTTAGTTCATCAAAATTAGTGATGCTGAGAAATCGGGACATCAGTGCATAATGAGTGTGAAATTAGGAATGAGAGCTCGCTATGCAAATGACAGGCAAGTCGTGTGAAAAAGTCAAGATAAACTGCATATTAAGACATTATGTTACATAAAATTAATACTCCGTTTCTCCCTTTTGCTTACTGTTCCCCTGAAAGATTTTTTTTTTATTCTTTTATCTTTTGATCAGCTATTGTCTGTGGGATTTTTTTTTTTTAAGTAGCACACAGGCAAAGTGCAAAACATGTTATTACCTTTTATTCTGATACATGAGATGCCAGGCAGACCCTTTTTAACAAAGTATATATCCTTTACTGCTGTCACATGTTTGCTTAGAAACCAAAGAGAAGTGAGATGTCTTAAATATTAGTCTTAGAAGACATACGGGTTTTGTCTTTTCTTTCTTTTTTTTTCCTCCTTTTTTTATGGGGGGGTGGTTTTTTTTTTTTATATAAAATAGTCTTCTTGCATTACGGGGACTGACAAAATGGTTCTCATGTAGTCAGAAAATTAAACACAAGTGCAGTGATTATTTTGAATAGCTAAATTACATTCTAGAAAGCTTGTAGATTTCAGAGCATTGTCATTAGGTATCCGCTTGAATACAATTTGTGTAACCTTGGCCAAGACAGCCTGTCATTTTAATGTCAGTGTTTTATCTGAACAAGACATCATCCTTTCAGATCCAGTGTGCAGGTTCCTTGCAGAGATGCCCGTGCAGAAACGTGTTAACAGTTGCAAATACGAAATGCTATCAAGTTCATCACTGTAGCTGTTTGTCACAGAAATGTCATGGAAAGCGGTTTTTAATGGTATCACACGTAATATGAAAGAGTTGAGACATCTGCATCCTGGGTGAATAAGGAAAGATAAAGGCGTCATTGGAAGGGTCCCTGTTTTCAGTTCAGAAGGTGTGTCCAAAGTTCTGCCACCTGCAAGCCTAAGTACTCATTGATTATTCTGCAGATCACTGTTCCTGGAGGGGAAGTGGGTCATGCATCTGCACAGCTGTTTGTTCCTGTTTACCTTCCTCCCCCAAGCAAAAATTAAGTTTGGGTTAAATTCTCATAGTCCATTTTACCAGAAAGATTTGTTAAGTTTTTCTTGTCTGCTTGTAAGACTGCCTGAAACCTATCAGGGCCACAGGGTTTTCTTTTATACTTTTTCACTTGCCTGGCATGTGCGATGCCCTGAGTTTGATCCCTAGGTGACACACCTTCACAGTAACACTGGCAATAATAATAATAATAATAATAATAATAATAATATAGCACAAGAGATTAAATAGGATATGTGACTATATCTCCTCTGGTTAAATATGTTTTGTCTGGGAAACTGGTCCATTCTTGAAGCAGGCCGTAGCAGGGAGGCTGTGGGCATGTTGTTTCCTGGCTTCCTACTTACCCTTCATTAAACGTTCTAGGTTCCCGTGTCAGTGGCTATGATGACACCTCAAGTTATCACTCCCCAACAAATGCAGCAGATCCTCCAGCAGCAAGTGCTGAGCCCTCAGCAGCTCCAGGTTCTCCTTCAGCAGCAACAGGCCCTCATGCTCCAACAGGTAATTGTCCTTCTTTCTCCTGTCCACACCCCAGTACCTAGACCCCTCTACCTGTTCCCCTCTACCAGCTGCTGTCCCTCCCCACTGAGGAATAAACAGGACAGGCTGGGTGTGGTAGCATCCCACCTGGTCCCTGGGTAGTCAGTGGCATTTGTACCCCTGAAGGAAAGGATTGCTGTCAGAGTGGCTAGGGCTCGGACCTAGAGAGTACAGGATGGACAGAGATTAGGGCTGTAATTGGACTTAGTAGAAAAAGATCTTTCAGGCTTACATGGCTTTATACTCTTTTATTTGGTAAGCTCAGAGGCTTCTAAATGGTGTGAATCAAAGCAAAATGAGACACACGTTGGTAGCAGGTTTACATATGACAGCTCTTGAAGTCCCCATTTCAACTCTGAAGCTTACACATTTTTTTTTCCTTGAACATAAAAAAGCATTTCAGAGTTGGTTAATTTCAAGGTACAGCGTTGGGTTTACTTTGTACAGGCTGTTCCTCAAATAACTTCTGGCAGTCTTTGTGCCTTGGGGACATAATACCCACGTTTAACAGGCACCTAGACCCAACAGATAAGACTGGATACTGCAGGAATAGAAGTTAGTGGCATGGAATGGTGAAGGCACAGGACTCAGAGGACACTCCCAACACTGTCAGAACACACAGCGAGGACCCCCTCCCTCCCCCCATCATTTAGAAAGCCTGCGCTAGAGCTTCACCAGACTCTCTCTGCAAGGGCATCTCGGCTTTGTTGTGCCATCAAAGGTCATCCCTTGCCTTATTTTAATTAGTTTGTGTAGAAAATGGTATGTTTTTCATCAGTTCATTTTTGAGATTACTTCTCAAACCATAATGCCAAGAATAGTCAATGTGCGTGGAATTTATTGTCGGGTTTCAAACTGAAAGGTCAGGCCATTACAGATAAAAGGATGCTGTTTTTCAAATCACAGTTTGTGGATGGCATGGGAAGGGACAGTGGGCCGGCACAGTCCTCTGCTACTCACCGTCCTCTCTCTCTGTGTCTTTGTAGCAGCAGCTTCAAGAGTTTTATAAAAAACAACAGGAACAGTTGCAGCTTCAACTTCTCCAACAACAACATGCTGGAAAACAGCCGAAAGAGGTACCAACAATACATATTTTACTTTCAAACCACAGATCCCAGAGGACTATCTAGTAGCTATGAAACTGTCATTCATCTTTAAATGATTGCACAACTCAGCTGACTCTATCGGTTCTTGGCTTTCAAACCAGGAGTTATTGCCCTGTTTGCGCTAAGATTTCTGGATTCCTTACTTTTCAACCATCGCTGCTCGTGGACCTGTGTGGGGAACAGGCTTGTGGGCAGAGTGCTCTGGGTTCTTTTGGCCGATAGATGGGTACAACTGAACACGAGCATATAGCTGGGATGGGGGTAAAATTGGAAAAGGAGCCCACTCTTTTTTTTGTTTGTTTGTTTGTTTTTGGTCTTTTTGAGACAGGGTCTCCCTGTAGCCCCAGCTGTCCTGGAATGCACTATGTAGACCAGGCTGGCCTCGAAATCACAGAGATCCGCCTGCCTCTTCCTTCCAAGTGCTGGGACTATAGGCGTGCGCCACCACGCCCAGCTGGAGCCCACTACTTATTTGTTTGTTTGTTTGTCACCTCAGTTGCAGGTGGCAATGTCTTATGAGGTAGAACAAGATCCCCATCTTTGTTTAACTTCTTGCAAGTTTTGCATGTTCTCATGCCTACCACGTGCACTACTTAGCATAGTTTGGGGACTTTGTCTTGGGGCATGTGTATTTAACTGAGGGAAAACCCAGTCTATTATATCAGCTTCTATGCCCCAGTAATTTGTAGTGTCCAAGATTTATTGCACCACCCAGGCAGGTGATGACTGTAGACCTGTATATGGTGAGGCCTTCCCAGGAATGTCTACCTTACCTTCTGTATGCTTCCATTGGGGTAAGGCTCTGCCTGTTATGGAATCACTGAGCTGCCTGAATGCTTAGTATTAGGACATCCTCTTATTCTTTCTGCATTTTCCACAGTGGTCCAAAAGCCTTTGCTTAAATAGCTCTCCCTGTGACAGCAAAATAAATAATTCCATAAACAGCACGTGGCCCTCTTTTGTGGCTCCTCTGCCAGCCTGACACTTTTATTTTTGTGGAGGGAGTCTCACCAGGTGACTCTCTACGTCCCTCATGAATGTGGATACCGGGTAGCACTGATTTTACACACGGGGGTGACCCAGTCGGTCTCCCCGCGCCAGCTCCTCCCTCTACACAAATCGGGTACAGTTTCCATGCTCTGCCAAGTTTCCACCCCAGAGTTCTGTTTAGCAGGCTGCCTGTAAACCCCTGCAGAGAGGGGCAGTTTTGGGGTGAAGGGGAAGAGGCGTTTGAATGAAAATGCTGACACAGCCTTAAGGACAGTGGCGTGCTACCCAGTTGCTGCTCTAGTAAAAAAGGGAACAGATTAAAAAGTGTCTAAAATGTAAATCTAAAGGACTAACAGTAATTAAAATGGAAATGGCGCGGGGAGGGAAGGCATGTAATTGTGAGATATCACTGTGCAGAAGGCTCTCAGCTTTGTTTTGCTGGCTGTTTTTCTAATTCAGCGGGGCTTACTCATCGGTGGCAGTTCAATGCGCCTTAATGACTCTGGGATTGCAGGCATCACTCTGGACAAAGAAATGATTATTGTGCGGTCAAAAGAAGTTCAAAGACAAGAAGGGAATTTCAGTTTTTTTCCTTAGAGATCCACATTCAAGAGCATATAAATTAAGCCAAATGTTAAAAACCACAGTCTGAAAGCTGACTTCAAAGTCACAACTCTCTAATTAATGAACTGCGAGCTTCAGTTTGGACAAGTTGGGGTTTGATGCGCCCATAAATCAACATGACAGGCCTGTTTCACAGCCTCAGACACCGCTTGTCATTGAATCACATCAGATGTAAACACAGCAGAAAAAAGAAGGGCTATGAAGGAGGTGCAATTGATCAACAGAATTGGTAAAAACCCACTTTTGAAGCACATTATGCATGATCACAGGAAGTGGTTACAGCCTCAAGAGGTTTCCCCTTCTGCTGTTGCTTTTTTGAATCAGATTTCTCACAGCCTTCAAAAGGGAGAAGAAGAATTATGGAGTTTCTCCCCCGTGGCTCACAGGCAATAACCCCCTGTTGTTATTTTGTGCTTCTTTCTTTTCAAAGGCATCAAAATTTAGTTTTTTAAAGATCTTTAACTCTGTATTTGAAGACAAACAAAAAAGGGCTGCCACCGTCATGTCACTCTTATCAGTTACCAGAGACTGTGTTCTTCCTTTCTGTTGCCACTTCTTATTAACCTCTTATTTGGTCTTGTAGACAGAGTTTGGAATGCACGTCCGCGTGCTGGGAAGACATGGAAGTTCAGATGAGTTCCGAGGGCCCTAGAAAGACATGGGATGGGGAAAGTTCCCCAGCACAGGAAAGTTCCCAAATTGCCCTCCTCAGGAAGGGACGCACAAACAGAAGAGTGACATCCAACTCTGGGCAAGGGAGTGAGGATGAAAAGGGAGCATGTTGTGTCCACCCGCAGACAGGGTGAGACATAGTGTGTTTACTATCTCCAGGATGCTGGCCGTGCTATGGACCGTGCTTGGGGACCCAGGAGATATGTGGCCTTCAATGTCCCTAGAGAAAGCAGACAAGTGGAGTGCACTAGTGTCCTTGGAGTTCACTGGATAATGTTCATGGTGTCACTGGACTTATATGGGCTTTGTGGCAGTAGTTAAGAGATCCCTGCTACTCTTGAGATGTCAAGGGCTTGTGTCCCAATACTATCGTGCAGGTGACGGTCCTTCTGTGCTACAGTGAAAGAGTCTCAGGGTGATGACTTCCTGGTTCATGATGTGGCCTGGTGCTTATGATTTTAACAAAGTTTGAACATGGACATTGGCACATGGAGCAAGTGTATTCATTCACTGAATCCCCATCGTTAGCAGCTTTTTTTTTTTTTTTTTTTCTATCATCAGGCACATCCACTTGTTTTTTGGGTTTTTTTTCCTTTTTGATATTCATAGGACCCCTGGCCAGAACATGGTGCCTTTGCTGTCTTTTTACCCAAAGTTGTACTCAGATGCTCTGTTGGGAAAGTTTGGCTTCACATTGAATCAGACCCAAGGTGATCTTTTGGAGATAGATGGCTCACTGATGGGATCAGAAATGTAGCCCAGTATCCCCACAGGGTGGTATGGAAAATACATGGCAGAATTCATTTTTAAATCAAGCTGCAGGGAGGAAAAAAAAAAAAAAAGATGCCATCCTGTGTGGTGAGATGACCAAGCTGATTGTTTTAAAAGGGCCGTTTGTCTGGGGCCGTTATGACAGTTTATGTTAGGCAGTAGGGAGTAGCCAAAGAAAGGAAAACAGACCTTTGACTGCAGCTCTAGGGAGGGGATCCGAAATGCAAGGTTTATCAGGGCATTTGAGCATTTTAACACTGACTACTGACCTGTCGAGGGACTGTGCAAAGACCTTTTTTGTATGCATTCAATTGTGAGAAGTAAACAAACGGGCTCGTATCCTGTGTTTGGTAACTGGGTGGGGAACACACTTTGGCAACCAGTGTTGCTTTTAAATTCTTTCTTTGGACAATAGGCCTTGTATACTTTTATATCCTGGCTTTTCAAATGTGGACAGCTTTCATGAGCCTTTCCTAGGGATGGTCACAGAGACAACAGAAAAAAGCATCAGTCATTTTATATAAATACACAATTTTTAAGCATTACATTTACAGTAAGGCAGGAAACACTCTCTTCAGCCTCCAGCCCCCCCACCCCCCACCCCCCGTTATACTTGACTTCAACGAGGGCTAATTCCCCCTCTTTGACTATGCCCATGTTTCTCTTCTTCCTTTTCCCTGCTTTTAATGTCATGGGTTACTATCTGTTGAAGAAATGAAGAAATCCTTTTGACATGAATATAACTATCATTGGGTTTTACATTAATGTGATAACTTGGGAAGGGGTAAAAACAATTGGATCATTTTATGCATGCTGTTCTTAAAATGAAGACACTGGCTTTTCATTTAAATTTATTTAAATTTTTGTTGTTGGTGGTACAGAATTTGTTTTTTGGAGTGAAACTCAATTAACTTTCTCAGTGGCATGGTTGTTCTCTAAGTCTGAAATTGTTTACTAATATGTGGATGATATTTTTGTTTTTTGTTTTGTTTTGTTTAACTGTAAAATAAACTACACTGAGGCTGAAAGGAAGCCACTATTTTTCTCTTTCTTTGGACTTTGCATCAGAGGTTCTTGGCGTGCATACCATTTTATGAACCTATGAGGTCAAGGTCAAGGTCATGTGTTAGGCTAAGTGAATGCAGTTATTTGTAAAGTGTAGCTATTTAGCAGAACAGGCAGAATCTTAATGCTTTGGATCTTCCTTTTGGTTGTTAAAAGTATTGTTACCTTTGGAATAATACTCAGAATTAAAGAACTGTTGTCTGTTTCTTAAAGAGGTGGTTTTTTAAAAAATATTTTATTATTTTTATTTTATGTGTGTGAGTGTATTGCCTACATGTGTGTAAATGCACCCATGTGGTGCAGTGCCCAAGGAGGTCAGAAGAAGGCATCAGATCACCTGGAACTGGAGTTAGGATGGTGGTTAGCTGCCATGTGAGTGCTGGGAATCAAACCCAGGTCCTCTGTAGAAGCAGTCAGAGCTCTAACTGTTGAGCCAACTCTCCAGAGGTGGGTTTTTTTGTTCGGTTTTTTTTGGATCCAGTTTGGGAAGGGTTAATTTTCCTTTTTAATTGTTAGCCATACTGTAGCCAAGACCTCCACCTTGATATGATTCCTAGCAGATTAAGGATATTAGATAATTTCCTTCTATTTATTGTCCTACTGCAATGTATTATCTTTCTATCACTCAGATAATGACTGAGGAAATCTACATTAATTTTTTTGGCTGAGGCAAGGCCTACTAAACACAGGAATGATGTATTGATGTTTTACACAACAAAAGTTTGCCTCCTGTCGTTGTCCAGTCAACAAAGATATTTTTCATATCCTAGCGCCACCTTCATTTCAAGAACAAAGCAGGTGGGGGACACAGGGCTCCGCCAAGCAGACCTTGGGGTTTGAAACTAAAGCTAAGTTAAAGATCCAAAGCTTAGACTGTCGTTCTTATTAAACTCTCACAGTGGAGTACGATGTTGTTTGCTAAATTATGAATGTGTGTAATTAAAATCTAGTGGCTGTTTCTATGAAAGATTTACAATGTTATTTCATCGTTTGTCATGGCTAATTAACAATATTAGATGAAGTTTTTCTTCTTCAAAGGTCTGATTTTTTCTCATTTATTTATGTCAGAAGTGATAAACAGAGTAGTTAAAGGCCCCTGCCTGGTGTAGGCAGGGAGGAAAGCACCTTGTTCTTTTCCACCTCAAAGGTTCAGGGTTCATATCCCTCTGGACTAGAAGGATGCAGTCTCCTTTCTAGTCTGAATAATTACAGATTTCAAAGTCTCAAAAGTTCACATCTTGACTATCAAACTCCGGCTTTTCCATCTGTAGGGAAAGCAGGCTTGTTGAAAGAATCATTTTCCCAGGGGAACAGGCTGCAGGAAAATAATACACTCCCCCCGCCCCTTACCTGTCTTCAGATGCGTATGTTGTGTCCCTTTTAAACCTTGACACTGAGCCCTCCACTGAGCTCAAGTGACTACCCTGTTTTTGACGATGACGGTGAGTTTTGAAATGTGCACACTTTTGACCTTCATTGGGAAGTGGCTATCTCATAACTCCCTCTGTCTCTTCCAGCAGCAGCAGGTGGCTACTCAGCAGTTGGCCTTCCAGCAGCAGCTCTTACAGATGCAGCAGCTGCAGCAGCAGCACCTCCTGTCTCTGCAGCGCCAAGGCCTTCTAACAATCCAGCCCGGGCAGCCTGCCCTTCCCCTCCAACCTCTTGCTCAAGGTATGCATCCAATACATGGGAGGTGGCTCTGTGAAGACTAAGCAGAGGGGATGGCCTGTCTCTTGCCCTCTTCCAGTGTAGGTTGCAGGAAAGTACCCACCTGAGACTTGCACATTGGGCAAGAAAAAGCAGATGGGCCCTCAAAGAGATTGAGAAGACTGTTGATGCCACGAGGAAGTAATGGGGGTCTGAATGCTCACTAAGGGGCCATGCTGCAGTTGGGAGAAAGAAAATGAAACACAGTCCTTGGATTTATTGACCTTTTCAATGCAATCTTGTGTGGAATTTTAGTTTGGAATGTTCTTGAAGCCTATTGTTAATCATTTTAAGACCTGGTTTATATCATGCAAATTTCTTTCTCTCCCACCTTTCCTTCCCTCCTTCCTTCTTTCCTTCCCTCCCTCCCTCCCTTCCTTCCTCCACCCCCCTGCTCCCCCCCCCAAAGAGTCTCTGATGTGGCCCTGGCTAGCCTGATACTCCTGCTTCCACCTCCTGAGTGCTGGGATTACAGGTGTGCACCACCATGCTCGGTTCCTCCTTTAAATCTTAGTAATGCTTTATCTGAACACATTTTTAAGAAAATATCTAGGCATCCATCAGGTTTACTTCCTGAGGGACTGTTTTATAAAGCTAATGGGTTTTGTTTTTGTTTCTTTTTACATGTTTCTGCTGACTTTGAACCAATAAGTTGATCATTCATTTCCAGTTCTTCTTCATAAACTGCGACTCTTTGAAATTTATTAAGATTTAATAGATTTCCTGAATTCTTTTTGAAAAGCCCCTGGTATCTTACAAGGGAACCTGGCATCAGAAGCAAAGGGAACCAATCATTAGGTGTTCTTAGGATGCCCTCTGGGTGTGGGCAGCTCTGACATTCCTATGTGCCATGTGAGAGCAGATGGCTTATTCAGAGCTAGGAAGGGACAAAGGGAGGCTGAAGAAAGGGTCAGGACTGTGTTTAAAGCCCAGTTCCCCTGTTCCAGATACCTGACTGTCCACACCTGTGAGTGCCACAGCCACAAACTCAACCAAGTACTCATTGGGAAAAAAAGAAACAGTACTGGTGTCTGAACTGAACACATGCAGACTTTTTCTTCTTATTCCTCCAACAGTACCGCAGAGCAGCTATTTAACAATTTACATAAGATTTTCATTATAGACTATCCTAACAGAGGTGATTTAAACTTAGGGTTGGTGTGCATGGGCTCTTTGCAAATACCATGCCATTCTCTTCCCTCCCCCCCCCCCCCCGCCTCCTCATTATCATCCTCATCTTCATCCTCTTCTTCTTCTTGGAGACAAAATGCCTCACTTTGTAACCCAAGGCTGGCCTGGAACTCATGATTTACCTGTCTTAGTCCCCTGAACAACAGCTTAGATTACAAATGTATACCACCACCCATTTTATCCCATGCAGTTTTATTTTTTTAAATATTTTATTTATCATCTTTATTTTATGTTTATGAGTATATTGTCTGCATGTGTATAAAAGCACCCACGTCATGTAATGCCCACAGAGGTCAGAAGAAGGCATCAGGTCCCCTGGAACTGGAGCTACAGATAGTTGTTAACCACCATGTGGGTGCTGGGACTCGAACCCAGGTCCTCTGCAAGAGCAGTCAGTGCTCTTTACCACTGAGCCATCTCTCTAGCCCCTCATGCCGTTTTATATAAGGGGTTTGGTCATACTTAGATCCTAGTATCCAATATGGGATCTCTTAGATACATAAGAATTGAGTATATACGGTACCGTAGATGACTTCCTCAAGGCCCACAGACCTTCCGTTTGTTCATAGTGGGCCTGGATGTAGTATACATGTAACTTGAAGGAAGATCGCTTCGGGTGTTTTGGATTCACTTGCCTTCTGAATGATAGATGTCGTCTGTGCTGCTTAAGAGGTGGTCACTTGTCTAGAAATGTTTGGTCTCAAGTGGAGCCAGTGAGGTGTGTCTGCATTTAAGTTTTCTCTCAAGTCAGCCACACCCAACATCTGTCCCTTGCAAGTTTTTTTGGTGGTTGTTGTTATTTTTGCTTTTAATGTTTAGACGGGGACTTTTTCCTCCTTTCACTTCTCCTTTGCCCTTCCACCTGTCCTGCCATGACCGCTCAGCTGCTTGGTGTCTAAACAGCATCTCCTCCAGGACGGCCCGGTGGGAAGGTGTGGGAACTGAGCACAGGGCAGAGGAAGGACACTGCAGCTAATGCATTTTTGTGCTTGCATAATGTTATAACCTGCATTAATTACACCCTTTGGTTTATTGTTGGAAACATGGCGGGCTGTTCTGACACACCCACTGGACTCAAGCTTCACCCTCTCTCATCTTTTCCCACCGCTCCTATACTATTAAGTTTGCTCACTAAGGTTCATTGTTACAGTACATCAGTTAAGCTGTCCAAAAGAGGGCAATTGGGCAGTGACAAGACAAGCTCATGTGTAATGTGAAAGAAATGAATGTGGTGATGCATGAAGTGTAATCTCTGCAGTAACATATCAAAGACACCGGTAGGTAATTCACTAGTCTTGGCATTGATTGATATGCTTAGCAGTCTGCTGTAACTATTAGTGCCTGCAACATTAGGGAGAAGCCTATGTAGACTCTAAGGGGTGTCTGTCTGTGCCCCCATGATGGCATGAATGTAAATGTCAGCGGTACTGCCATGAGGTGCTGGGCATAAAGTGGACAACAGTCTTTTCCATCCCACGTGAATCAGGAGCTTGGCTTTGTCTCCCCTGCCTCCTCTGTGGAGTGGCTGGAGAATTCAGTTTCATTGGGCTACAACACAATTCTTTTTTATCAGAGAGATGATGGCTTAAAACTGATGTCATTATGAGGTTTAAATCAACTTTCTGCTTGCTTGAACATGGTCACCTGGGTATGGATGTACAAGGACAAAAAAAGGTTGATCAACTCTGTTTGTCTTTGAGCCAGTGATACCTGGGGTTGTAAAATTGAGTTCCATGAACAGTAATCTGTCAACTGTCCCCACAACATACATTTTTTAAGCCTGCGCCTGCATTTTCTTTTATAATGAAGGGACAGGTTGTCCTGGGAAAAAAAAAAAAAAAAAAAAAAAAAAAAAGCCATGTGGAAAGGCACAGAGGTTATGTGTTTAAAACTGCTGGTAATTCCTACTTCATAATATAATCATCAGGATTCTTCTACAGACCTGCTCTTGGCCTGGCTCAGTTACTTTAAACCTGTGTACGAACCAGAAAATATAGGGACAGTGAGTGTGACATTTTAAAGCCCTTTTCCTGGAGAGTCTATATTATAATCTTCGTCTTTTTCTGATTATTCTAGCTCTTTCTCTCTGTTTCCGATAATTAGCCTCTCTGTTCTCACCCTGATTTCATTCATCACTTGATTCTTCTTAGCAGCAGCAGTTTCATACGAAAATGTTTTTGTGCTTTTATTGCAATATTTTAATTTTGAAAATGTAAATTCCAGAGAGAAGAAATTATGTGCTTCTTGTTTTCCTGTTAACAGTTTGTCTGACTTGATACTTACCCTACCACTCTGCATGAAACTCTTGCTTTCTGGAAATTGGGTTACACGTGTTCTGAGGGGTCACTAGCTTAGGTCTTGTCGGTCTTAACTCTGTCATGAGGTCTAGGTATTCCGGGGTGGGTACTAGTCACTGAACTAACAGTCAGTCATCACTAACAAAGAGTGGTACTGGCGGAGGCATTGAATTGACTGCCTCTGTCTTCATTCAGTCTGTTGAGAATGCTTCTAAGCCTAATGATTGCATTGACATCTGACCCAAAGGTACCTCTCTTGTCACTCAGTGAGCTGCTCTTTTTTTGCTTCCTCCTATGAATGATGAACCTGATTTACCAGCCTATCAGAATAAAAAGGAAAAATTCCACCAAGGCACTCTGCAGGTGAAACACGTGGCGACCATATTTATCTTGGGCTCGATTTGCCAGAAACCATACTTCTGAAACAGCCTCCAGAGTCCTGCTTGTCTCAGAAGGAAGGTGTGAAGGCACTTGTCACACTCTCGTTCTTTCTGTGCAGCCGACCCAGAAATCAATTAGTCTAAGTTGAAAAATAGGCGACTTGTTCATGTGTTTACTCACCAGAAAATAAAAGTAGGTGTTACCTGGGTGTTTTCATACCAGTATGCCCTCCTCCACAGACCAGCCTGCTCCCCATTGTTTCAACTGAGTCAACAGTGGTCCTAGGGCCAGCCGTATTTACAGGTAATTGTCGGTGCACAGATCACAGTGGCTGGCTCGCTCTCAACAAGCACATCCCACCTGTCATTTCGAAAGGTGTTTGAAAATAATAGCTCAGATGTAGAAAACCGGACAAGGGATTGTGTAGTAGTGACCTTTCCCTTTGTTTAATTTGCCTCGAGGTTTAATTTCAGGGGACAAGTAATAATTGAATATGCCTAATAACTAAATGCTCATTTGGGACAAAATCCATCAAAATATAATTGGCATTTGATTTTTATGTAGGGGAGAAGGAAACCAACTTGGCTGTCGAGGATGCGTCCTAAGGATATCTGACCACTTAATGTATCATTTGAAACCTCTTTTATAATATATATTAATTGCAGATACTCGAGCATTTGAACATTTTCCTTGAGCACCAGTCAGAGAGACCAACTGTTTTTGTTAACGCTCCTCTCAGAAAGGCGGGGAAGGTTATTGGTCTGCTGTGCAATAATTTACTCCTCTTTGATATGCAAACGATCCATGGTGAATATAAAAAAATCCTATCAGACTCATTTCACAGTTCTTAACCGCTCGGATTCTCTGGAGTCCATCGCCTCATTAGACCAGTGCTCTCCAATGCTAGCATAATTAAAATCTTTAACAGTTTAGCAAAGTAAAGATGTTTGGCTGATCACGTTGAGATGATTATCTATCCATTGTATTCTAAATGACAAAAATAAATTAAATTTAGACCTTGGCATTTTTTTATTATGTGTTTCAAATGGATATAATGTGCACAGCTTGCTTTTTTTTTTTTTTTTTTTTTTTTTTCCAGTCCAGTACTTTTTGGTTTGGCACGAAACATGCCTGTTTCGGTTACTGCTATGAACCCAGAAAATGGCGGGCTTTCTAGGAGAGCTGTTTTCCAATTGATTGAAACAATGACCTGCAGTCTAGACATGCGGTTCAGAGGCAGAATTGCGTTATGCTGTACAGGGTGTATGGTTGGTTCTTCGTTCGTCTTTCAAAGGAAGCAGCAGCTTCTGATGCTGCAGCTGCTGTTTCTAGGTGGGGTCCAGGCCCTCTCTCTTTTCTGTCCATGTGCATCCTAGAATATGTATTGAGCCAGAAATTGGAAAGTCCAGGCTGTAGACATTTGCTGATAGGATGGAGAAGCAGAGGTCCACAGTGGTAAGACTAACATGCTGATTGTTTCTCATCTTAAAGAAGATAAAGGTGAACACTTATTTTTGGAGGACCCCTCTCCATTTTGACCCCATTCAAAAAACAAGAACTTTATTCCTCCAAGCTTATTTTTACGTTTTCACTTTTATTCTGCAATGGCTCATTAGCATCGATCGCAGAAATGACAGTAATAACAGTGTTACTTGTATAAAAAGTTATACAGTTTTTCAGTAGACACATCCATCAATTAAGCATGTGGTACTAGAAACCAAAATTAATGAGGAAGATAGGTGTGTTAATGAAATAATCATAGTATAATCAATTTGACTGTTAAAAGTTGAAAAGCATTTCAGGAAGACGGTATGAATTCATAATTTATGTCTAAAAGTGATTAATAAAAACTGTATTTAATAACAAAGCTATTTGTCATCATTTAAGACTTAAGCACAAAAATTATTCATTTCGTGGTTCATGTTGTCAAAAGAATTTAGTTCAACAAATTTATTTTGCGCCCTTTTTTTGTGCCTAGAAATAACTTATGTGCCTCTACTTTCCTTCAGGGTGTTGTAGTAAGGCATACTGTTGGGAAATGACTGTTTTTTGAATCCTTTTCTCGGGTGTCTGTTTTCTGTGAAGAGGGTACTTCAACTAGCTGCTCAGTGGGAAAACACACTTATTACTACTGTATTTGCCTTAGTTGGGAGGGGGGAAAAAAGAAAGTAGGCACACCAAAAAGCCCCCCTAACACTAGGCTTTGTTTACTGACTCTTTGATTTAATTACTGTTTGAAGAGGATGGAATTAGCTGTTAATTGATTTAATTATCCAATTTGTTTGTTTCAGGCATGATTCCAACAGAACTGCAGCAGCTCTGGAAAGAAGTGACAAGTGCTCACACTGCTGAGGAAACCACAGGCAACAGTCACAGCAGTCTGGACCTGACCACCACGTGCGTCTCGTCCTCGGCCCCTTCCAAGAACTCCTTAATCATGAACCCGCATGCCTCTACCAATGGACAGCTCTCAGTCCACACTCCCAAAAGGGAAAGGTAGGAAGGAGCACCCCAGCCCTACCTGCAGCGCCTGTCTTTCACCTGGGTGGGGCAGGTGGCCTCCCCTGGCCTTATCTCCATGATCCCTAATTCAATTCTTGGGACATGGATATGCATATAATTACTTAAGAATGTATTCAGTATGGTTTGGGTGTGAAGCATCTAATTATTTTCACCTTTTCAACATGGAATTAGCACTTTTGTAGATCTGTGCTCAGCTTAGGAGCCCTGGCAGAAGTCTTGGAGTTCCACATTGGAAGGGTTGGCTCTCAAGGCTTCCAGGCCAACTTTGTACTCTGCCAAGCACTCACTCCATACAAGCTGAATGACTTGGCTGTGAGCATTTTCTCAGGGATCAGTGGTGTCTGCTGTGGATGATTTTGAATCTTGGTTTGACAGTCTACACTGCCCACCCCCCTTGAAAGCAGGGAACCCATGTTCTTCATGGTGAGTTTCCAAAGCATGTGGCCATTTCAGTCTAGACCCTAAGGAAAGTTTAAAGTACGGGAGTTGGAAGGGTATGTTGCATAGACGTGTCTGAGTGTCTGCAGCACACCTTTCCTGATGATGTATGCATTAGTGCTGTCTTAGCTGCTGTGTTCCTGTTTGTAAGTTAAAGCTTTTGATGAATTCTAGTTAGAGCTATGATGGTTTTAAAGATTCTGAATCCTTTGTGTTAGCTTGGAGTCTTAAAGAAATAAAATTGCTCATTCATGCTATTGTATCTTAGCACCCAGAAGCAGTGGTACCACCCTTGAAATGCATTTCAGAAGTGGGAGAGATGATACTCCGCAAATCGACAACTTTTTTCTGTTCTCTATTTTTAGACTGTTTCCTATTTATTTCATATGTAGTGCTTCCAGACAGAAGAAAAGCAGCTTTAAGTAGTTTCTCGTAGCAAAATTCCATTTCCATCAGGCAAAAACAAATTCTGAAGTTAGTTTTTAAGTACAAATTACTCAGTGAAAAAGTTTAATTATATATTTCAGCTGAGCAGTTACAATATCATTTCACACAATTGCCAAAATCCTGAGCACTAAGCCCTGTGGTTTAACTCGCTCTGTGTCTTTATACTGGAAAGACATTGTCAAAAAAAAATACATATGTAGGGTTCAGTTCTGCATAATCAAATAGTGACATTTTGGTGTATGACCACCTATATATCAGTGATCCTGGGTGTTAGAGAGCTGGCCCAGTGGTTAAGATGGCCTAAGTGCTCTTGTAAAGGACCCAAGGCAGTTCCCATCTGCTTGTAACTCTAGCTCAGATGAATCCAACATCTGGCCTCCACGGGCAGGTGCACTCATGTGTACATACCCCCACACACAGACACATAATTTAAAAACTAAAAGAAATCTTTAAAAAATGGTGGTCATATAGCATGGAGCTGGACAATTCCCCTGACCTAGTGATAGCACAATCTTTGTAAGCTCGTAGCACTAGGCATCGCCTACATGCTTGTAGCAAAGCTCCTATAAATAAACCCACTGTGCTGCTGGTTGCATAAAATGTAGCACATACAATTATGTACAGTACATAACACTTGACAATGATAATAAACCCTGTGGCCAGTTCATATGCTTACTATACTGCACTGTGTAATCATTACTTTAGAGTGCACACCTATTCTATCCATACATCACAATGTAAATATTACGTCCTGTGAGGTCAACAACAGCCTCGCACATCACATGTTCACCTCATGCCGTGGTTGCACCATTTTTTCTTGGGCTTGGTTTATTTTGTGTTGTTTTGGCCATTAGGGCTCCAGGTGCAGTGGGATGGAGGACACCACAGACACTCTCAGACACACATAGATGTGTAGTCCTGTATCATCTAGGTCTGCATAGGTATCACTGTAGGGTGTTGCCTAACATCACATCTTAGAATCTATCCCTCGTGTGTGTGTGTGTGTGTGTGTGTGTGTGTGTGTGTGTGTGTGTGTATCAACTTCAAACGTAAAAACCAACAAAGATTTTCAGAGGTGAAGATAATGTGTATGCTTTAACCAAAATCTTAACCCTCCTTTAAGGTTTCTTTGGAGTATCTCTGGGAGACGTGAAAGAAGTAAAAGATGCTTTAAACTTACTGGTCTAGAAAGGATGGAGGAACAGAATGGTGGACAGGAAGAATCATTTGTAGCCACTGGGGCAGATACAGCTGTGGTTTCCAGTAGAGAGGGATGCATATGCCTGGAAGCCACCTCTGCTTCGGCTTTGGAATCTCTTATAATGTCTTTATTACTCTTTTTAAAAAAATTTCAAAGTAGCAAGCTTTAGGTGGCTTTAAAGGAAAGGTTCTAGGCTTTGTCCTTTGTGGAGCTCACCTTCCCCATCCTGAGGTGGATGCCGTCCATTTTCTGCAGAGTGATTGAATTACATCTGTATCCATAGGCAGAACAGGAGGCCATACGCTGAAAAATGCCGACTGATGCACTTAAGGTATTTGTTGCAATCTTGTCGGCCTCTGTGGAGCCTGCACAGACTTCCTGTGACACAGAAAACTCTCCTTGTTTAGATGCGTTCTACTCAGTTTCATCCTAAAAGCTTATATATCTACAGTCAGGTGATAGATTAGCAAGGAAGCAAGCCAGAAAGAATGGGCCCTTTCATGTCTTAAGACACATTTGAAAGTAAATGGATCTAAGAGACAGTCTAATTCCAGGAGACTAAGTTTGTTTGATTTTGTTTTTTATGGTCCTTATTTTTCTGCACCAATGTTGCATTTAATCTTCATGCTAAAATTAGACTATGGATCAGAAGAGAATTCAGAATTCCACAAGCCCGAATCTAGATGTGAAAACTGCCTGAGCCTTTGCTATAAACACGCAGTGAGGAAGCAACTATGAAATTATGTGATGTCAGTTATTTTCTTGATTCTCCCAGGTTATAACAATCTGATAGGCTGCCAGTGGTGGCTAGATTAAAACAAGGTTTTAGGGAGGCCACTGTGTTTTATTTTTGGTGAACCCAAGGCCTTGTACATGTTACTCACATGCTCTGCCACTCAGATAAAATCCCCACCCTGGGTCACGTTTTAAACTGACTACATCCAGCCAGTGAGGCAAACCACCTTAGGTTAAAGACAGCTCAACAGCGTTTTTGATCATTCCAAAATCAATAATCAGTTAGCTAGTTTTGTATAGACACAAATACTTAAAATGAATATTAACGTGTCATTACCTTATCAGTGTGAATTTCATTTATTTATTCGTTTATTTATTGGCCAAACCCAGCACCTTTTGTATGCTAAGTAAGTAGTTGGTAAACCACTGAGCCTCAGTCCCTTTTATTTATATTTTATTATTCCATATGTATTATCCACTTTACATAGTAGAAAATGGTTATAGAAGGGAAGGAGAAAAGGAGAGAGAGAGAGAGAGAGAGAGAGAGAGAGAGAGAGAGAGAAAGTTGTCACTACCAAAGTATGTTCTCACTTGTGCACCGAGCTGTCAGGGATCTCAAGAGTTGTTCTTACTGCCTGGAAAACATTTTATCCCTTACTCTCCAGTGTATTTGTGAAATATGTGTCCTTATGAAGTCCCTTGATTCCCAAGTAATATTCTTTTCCCTCCATCCTGTAGAGCGATAACGGAGCAAGCAAGAGGTTTTGTTGCCGCGAACAGTAATCTAGCCTCGCAGACTCCAGTTGCCAGTTTTAGGGGGGCTTTTTCTTGAAAAGATCTAGGAGTGTTGTATGTGAAAATTAGCTGAAAAAAAAGAGGTTTTCTGCTTTTAAAGTAGTAGGATGTGTAAAGCTCTCACCCGGCTTGCATGTTTTCACGCATGTGGAAGCCTCCGTCTTCCCCACACTCCATGCATTTTGCAGTCTCTGTGAGCAGCCGCCGCTGCGGCTGCTCTGGGGTTTGGTGAGCTGCAATCTGTTAGGGAGATAAATAATGTGCTTGGCACGATACTCCTACTCTCCCCTTTAATTTGTCTTATACAAGGAAAATTATAATTAAATCATTCAGGGTACACCCTTGAGTGTAGAGAAAGGGAAGAAACACACTTTGGTAAAGATTGCCGGGAGAAACCCACTTCCCTGTTGTGCAGGTTAGAGACATCGATCAGTATTCAGCAGTGTGCTGGAATGAGTGGCCCATGTGATTTGTGAGGCGGATGCCAATGCTCAGATCAAGGCTTGTTAAGATCCTGTCCCCGCACAATCACGGACGGTTAGCATCGTTAGAATTCAGTGCTGGTGCCTCACTTCCTGCTTTGAGTCTCTCCCAACAATTTAATAATGTTTATCGTGCTGATTATATAGAAAGCCATTGGTGCAATAAACATACCTCTGTTGTCAGTGCCTCAGAGAAGGAGGGATAAAGTTCAGCAGACCCAAGCTAAAGGAGAGCCACTGCGGGAAGCAGGTGTGTTCAATCCTCCTTGCTCCTGCATTACTCTATGGGAGCCTGGAGTCATAACTTCTTAGTAATCAGGCAGAGGAAGGCCTGGGATTCCTGCAGACATAGACCTTGTCTTGCACTTGTCATTTGTCTGACTGCCTCCTTTCAGAAAATTCCAAGTTTTGGTGTGGATAAACAGAATCAACAGAATGCAAATGAAACATTTATTAAAATGCTAAATTTAGGAAGCCCTTTGAGCTTCTTGGATCAAAGCAGCTATGTAAATACAAATAGCAATTACTACTTAAGTAATTGCCTGAATTAAAATTCTAAATATCACATTATATTATGGTGCACTAGGGAAGCACATTAAATCAGCTCCTTCTTGCTACCAATTTGCTACTAGACTCTTGCCCATGGAGTGATGTCTCATTTTATCCACAGGACTACCTGAGATGTGGTCCGGACTGTTACACCCATTTGACAGATGGAAATTAAAGGACTGATCTGCAGTTAAAGGACTGGAGAGTGTCATAGCCAAGATCCATATTCAGACCTGACTTTCAAATTTTTCCCATTCATCATAGAAGTGACTAGTTAATTACATTAAATAAAAAACCAGTGTCCCTAAAGGAAAATTTAAATTTCA